AAAAAAAAAAAAAAAAAAAGATATACATTTAAGTGATGCTTAAAATTAGGAAGTACCAGAATCTTCAGTAACGAGGAAAAGAAGCATAGTTTTAAAAAATCTTTTCATGTAATTCTGATACGCCTTGAAAAACATTCCACGTTTCAAATAACCAACTTGCAAACAAGCTTTGGGAACAGAATTTGTATGAAATCATTTTCTGATATATGCCACAGTTGACCACCAGGGGGCACTCCCAATGCAGTTCTATCGGGGCTTCCCAAGGCAGGCGTGTGGCGCAGCAGGGATGCGGCGGCTGCTGCCACATTCAGTTCAGCATCTGAGGACTGCGCTGGTGTCGCTCTGATGGGGTGTTACATGCTTTTCTTGGACAACACATTAACCTTTCCAAATACCATCTCATTTAACAAACGTATTTGTTTACAGTGGCTAAACCCACACAAATTGCTCATGCCCTGGGGCTCAAAACGTGAATTAGAAGGAAGAATTTGCGGCAGTTACCCACAGTTTTTTGTCAGATAATCAAGAGCTGGCTGTAACTACTCATCCAAACAGCTTCTAGTTACACGGTCCACAGATGTAATTTGTTAGAAAATCATTCATAATAAAATTCCTAATACAATGTAAAATACTGTTAAAACCTTTTTTTTTCTTTTTCTTTTTCTTTCAAGGCAGGGTCTTGCTGTGCCTCCCAGGCCGTAGTGCAGTGGCCGGATCACAGCTCACTGCAACCTCCTCCTCCCGGGCTCAAACTATCCTTCCACCTCAGCCTCCCAAGTAGCTGGGACTACAGGTACGTGCCACCACACCCAGGTAATGTTGGTATTTTTTTCAGTAGAGACATGGTTTCACCATGTTGCCCAGCAGGGTTTCCAACTCTGGGCTCAAGCAACCCTCTTGCCTCGGCCTCCCCAAGTGCTGGGATTACAGGTGTGAGCCATGGGGCCTGGCCAAACCTTTACATTTTAAGGCCATCTAAGATACTTGAATAGAAGGAAGAATTTGCCACAGTTGCCCATAATTTTTTGTCAGATAATCAAGAGCTGGCTGTAACTACTCATCCAAATATCTTCTAGTTACAGGGTCCACAGATGCAATTTGTTAGAAAATCATTCACAATAAAATTCCTGATAAAGTGTAAAATATTGTTAAAACCTTTTTTTTTTTCTTTTTTTCTTTTGAGGCAGGGTCTTGCTGTTATTAATTAATAAGTAATACATGTTCCTACACAGAAAAGCACACCTACTAAATACTAACACATGATGAGCATCTATAGGGAGGGAAAATAAATTTTGTGATTGTGGATTGAATTTATGGTTTTCTTTGAAAAGGATAATAATATTTTTTCAAGTATTTGGACACTTTACACCCTCATAAGCATGCCTGAACAACTTAGGACTTCATATGCCAGGAGAAGAAACCGTTAGAGCTTGTTATTACATAAAATTTGAACATTCCCTACCTAATTTTAAGAGACAGTTTTAATAAATGGAGGCCCTCTCGATTTAACTGTAACTGGAGAGAAAATAGAGTGTGGAGCTGTGCTTTCCTAGCTTTGTCTCCCCCACCACACCCCCTGCCTTGGTCAAACACAAACCCTGACCTCTGCTCAGGCACGCAGACAGATATGCACACGTGCCCATGGTCAGTTATCCTGCCGGCAGGGAGTTTCAGCCTACACTTATTTTCTGCACTTTATACTATGAAGAAGATGTAGTTTTACCCCCAGTTGTAAGACCGTATTACATATGCTTTTTCCTTTTTAAGTTTTTCATTGATACATAATCATTGTACATATTTATGGGTACATGTGATATATGTGCACACAATGTGTAATGATCAAGTCAGGGTATTCAGGATGTCCATTACTTTGAACATTTATCATTTATTTATGCTGAGAACATTTCAAATCTTCTCTTCTAGCTATTTTGAAATATAAAATATATATGATTTTTCAAATTACCACTGATGCCTTCCTGCCCCCAGAAGATTCTGATATTCCTCCTCATTCCTCATTTTCAAGAATGTCAATGTAGAGGACACAAGTTTTAAAGACCAAGTATCTTGACATCTTTGGCCCTATGCTTTCTGGAGGAGAGAAATTTGTTTTGGAACCAGCAGGGCAGGGCAAGGTGTTTGAACGGTATTCTGTGCAGAAGTCCTGCTGGAAGGAGTCGGCCACAGCCACCTGCAGCCTGTCAGCGGCGGAGCCGTGCTGGCTTCTTCCCGACTGACTAGCGGTGGTGGAAACAGATGGTGGCCACTGTCAGCAGAACTCATGAAAATAAAACTGCCCAGGAGGAAAGGTCCCCACAGGATAGCCTGGTCCTGGCACCTGCTTGCTGTCCACAGGACTCAGCTGTTGAAACACAGTGGAAAAGCACACCCAGCAGCAGAGATTGGCTACCAGGAACATCCAGCTGTGTCGGCTGAGCCTCTAAGTGAAGGGAAAAGGAGTTTAACAAAAAGCAGCTTCCACATTTTAGCAGTAACACATCTGTTTTGAGCATCAGTGGGCTCCTGTCTGTATAGTCAATATTATGCTTACACATTATTGTTGGACATTTATATTACATATGTTCCTCTAAGACATTGAAATTATAAATGCTCCAAACTCTAAAAAAGGGAGGCAGTGATTTGAACAGAATTATGTTTTAATTTAAAAGTGGGGGTACTGTTAGGGAGATACATCTTATTTTCAGAGAACACATTTCATTGGGTTTCACTCTGACCAAACATCATAATTTTCTGAGTTGTTTTCTCGAATGCTCATATCTGACTTTTATATGATTTATTTTTGGTATTGTTGTAGGAAGACTAAAAATTTATGAGAAATTAGCCCAAATCATGAGAGATAATTCTCCCCAATTTTTCTAAGTAATTTATTATGGTAGCTGTAAAGGAAAAATCAAATGGACTCAGGTTCCAGTTCTTCTGTTATTTCCAGGTAGAAATATGAGTTCTGCTCCAGTGAATCTACCTATCCATCCAAAACAAAGAGACCTTGCCAAAATACTGTGTTGAACAGGGCAATCATTGTGTTATAGTTGTATACTTCGATATATAACTCCAACATCAACTACTACAAATAAAGATATATTAATTAAAAAATAAAATTGCAAAAGAAGCATCATTTGTTTTCAACTTACATGACAAATCTTAGTCCAGGACAGAAATCAATAGTGTTCTTATATTGTGCCCAAATATATTTAGAGCCTAATAGAATTAATCAGTGAAGGTATGGCCTATTTTCCTATAGTATCCCAGATGTATACAAATTTGAGTACCACCTATCTCTTGTGAATAATATAACAATTTTAAACTCAAATTTAAAAGCTCTTGGACAATCATAATTATTATTATTAATGCTATTCAAGCAAGAAAATAAAATGATGTGAAACGAACAAAAAAGCACTTTGGTTATAATCTTGTCCACTCCCTTACTGGGTACCCATACTCATTAGAATGAAAATCATTTCATCACTGCTCTGTCATCTAGCACATGAATATAAACCCTGTTAACACACACAATCACACACACACAATCACACACACACACACACACACACACACACACACACACACACACAGGTAGCACTGACAGTGGTGATGACTGGTAAAATACAGAGACTTTATTTTGTAAAAACATTCATTCTAAAAGGTTTTTAGTGTACATCAAATGGCATTACCAGACCCAAACCGAAAACCTGGTGGTGAAACCTGGCTCGCTGAAAAGGGGATGGCTGTGGCGGCGGAAGCACTGACCTTGTACGCCTGCATGAGCATGTGGATGACCCCCGGGGCGCCGTGGCACCAGTGCACCAGCCGGTCTGTTTCATTGCTTAACGACGACGGGTAATTCCCAGATCGAAATTTTTTGTGGCGCACGTAATCAATACTGGGTTTCACCATCTCTGTCAAGGTTTCTTGGTCCACTTTCGCTGCTGGCTTTAAACAAACAAAAATACAACACAAGTTATTTTTTCTGAAGTTATTTCTTTTAATGACTGCATCATAGCTAACATAATAAAACATAAATTACATGGAAAACTAAAGAGCACATAAAATTAGAAGTCAGTCAACTATCTGCTCATTGAAGGTTTAGGCAGAACTTGTTTCAACTTTTTGAAATCTTTCTAAAATATCTTAGTGTCATAATGTATTTTGTCTCTTTGGTGGATGAGGACCACCCTCCTAGAGAGTAGTAAAGGAAATGACTGAATGGCAAGTGAACCTAGGAGTAAGTAGGTTTTGTTGCGTTGATTTGCTTTGTTAAAATGTGAACTTGATTTCCTTCCATGTGGCTCACGCCTCCTAAAAAGCCAGGTACCCCTCTTTTCCCAAATCTATATATTGACTTTGTGACTCAGCCAATCATTTAACCTCAGTTTCTTTATCTCTAAAATAGGATAAGCATACTACTCAACTCCTAAGGTGTTTGTAAGGAAAGGGGGAGGAAAAAATGCATGCCTCACTCCTTCATCCAACAATTTGTGGCAATACCGGCTTTTACCAAATGAAGGCACTCATTAAATGTTACCTACTAGAATTTACTGAGTTTGTGTTAAAGTTTTACTACAGAGACTAAGACTAAAAACACTCTTCAAAATATTTGCTAATTTTGAGGCACTGTTTTTTTTTAAAAGGACTTAAAACATTCAAAGAGTCTCAAGTTACTGTACAGATTCCCATGAAAAACCTGGTGAGGAGTCAGACAAGGCTGGGCTAAGTGAGCATCTTAGGGTGACATGCTAATGCCACATAATGCCTTTGGAGTGACATGTTAGCATCACATAATGTCTTAAGGTGACATGTTAGCACCACATATCCTTAGAATGACAGGTTAGCACCACAGAACATCTTAGGGTGACATGTTAAACCCACATGTCTTTAGGGCAACACATTGGCACCACATGACATCCTTAGAGTGACATGTCAATGCCACACATCTTCAGGGTGACACATTAGCACTATACGACATCTTTAGAGTGACAGGTTAGCACCACACAATGTCTTAGGGTGACACATTAGCACCACTGAACATCTTAAGGTAACAGCTTAATGTCACATGAAGTCTTCAGGGTGACACATTAGCAACACACAACATCTTTAGAGTGATAGGTGAGCAACACACAAATTTGTCAGGTGAATATTAGCGCCACAGAACATCTTAGAGTGACATATTACCAAACAATGTCTTTAAAGTGACATGTTAACACGACGTAAATCTGCATATTGGTAAAGTCTGAGATAGAGAACCCATCTCCGGCCACTGATTTTTCATTTGGCTTTAGTGGCAAATGTCAGGGGTGATGTAAAATACTCTCATAACTGAAATAAAATACAGTATTGCTTTAAATTCTCATCATTCCATTAGCATCGAAGTCTACAAAATGACACCTTCTCCTACAGAACAAAATAAAAACCTAATATCTTCAACAAAAACTTAATTTTATTAAAAAGGAAGGAAAGATCATTTAAGGAATATCAATACTTCCAAACTTCACTGAAATACAACTATATTTACTCACTAGAAAAATCTTTAGGTGTTTTTCCTGATACACACTTAAAGAATGTATTAGCTTTTTAAAAACCGTAAGTCATGAAGTTTATTTCGAAAGGCTACACGGTACAAATTACTTTCATACAGGTAATGCATAACCAGTTTAAAAAGTCAAAAAATGTTTAAGAGCTTATCTCAAAGACCAACAGCCCGTGTCCTTCCTAGGACACAACCGAGTTCCTTTTGGCTGTGATGGTTGTTAACCGCTTCTTCATGTTTCGGCGGTATGTCTAAACAGTACATGCGTGGCTGTGCCCTGAGTTACTGATTTTAGGCCTCCCCTTGTGGCAGATGACAGACACTTTCCTTCCTCTAATCTTCCCAAGAGAATTTCACTCTGGTCATCATTTTTAGTTACATCCATATTCCTGTGTTCTTTATAGACAAACACTGTTAGCTCCTGAAATGCACCGAACTACAGATATTCGTTTACACCTTTTTGTTTTTCCTGGAGCAACTTTCTCACTTTTTATTTGCTTAGTTTTCTTTAAGCCAGCACCTAAGCTTTCTCGTACCCACCAACAGCTCTGTAAAAAGTCTCTCAATATGATTTTCTACATGATCAAATCTACTATGACTTTGTTTCCCCTGGAGGTGACTCTCCATGATCGGCTGCTCTCCAGGTCTTCTGTGCCACTGCTGTCCTGGGTCTTCCACGTGCCAACTCCCTGGGGATTCTGCTCCCTTCTCTTGCACAGGATCCCCTCTTTCCTGGATCTGCTCCTCTTTCTTAGAATGCTCCCTTGTTGTGGCAGACACCATGCTCCAGGAGCTTCCTGAGATGGGGTTCAGGGGAATTAAATTTGGGGAACTGGATGTTTTAAACAGTCTTTGCTCTACTCCACATTTAATTAATAACTTTCTGGGCAGAACGCAATGTTGGAGTTCATTTTTACTCAAAACTTGGAAGCCATTTCCATGTATCTTTTAGCATCAGCGAAACTGTTGCAAAGTCCAATGCCATTTGTGGACTTTGCACATAGCCTGTTTTTTCTTCTCTAAAGTTAAGCGCTGTCTCCTTATCCCTTACCTTAACCTTTCACGATTATGGACGTGATGTGGATTTCCCTGTCTGCACTCACTATGCAGGAACCTGCTGGGTCTTTGCAATGGGCAGCTGTGTCCCTCACTTGCAGAGCATATCCCTGTGTTCTTTTCCTCCCTCCCTAGGTCCGCCACTAGTTAGATGCTGGACCTCCTTGATTAATCCTCTTATTTTCTTACGTTTTCCTCTGCCATTGTCTAGTTCTGCCTGCTTTCTAAGATATCTGACTTTGATTTCCAAACATTTTCATGAATTAAAAATTCAGCTATTATATTTCTTCTTTTCAAGAGCTCCCTCTTGTTCCCTCAAATGTTTCTTGTTTCTTGGAGGCAACGGCTTCTCTTATTTCTCTGAATATATTAACTATGAATTATTATTTCTTCGAAGCTTTCTTCCACTTCCCTGCCTTTCCTTTGTTCTTATTCCTACTTGTTCAGGTCTCTGTCTTTCAAGCTGGGGCTTTTCTGCCAGGTCTGTTCATCTCCAGCTCCCGGTCTGTGCTCACGCACAAGGCACAGCTCCTGGCTGCCCTCGGGGCACAGTAGGGTCTGTGGATCAGTGGCAATCACTGAAGGCTGGCTGGATGGGGGACTGCCAGGGGTCTCCAAAGAAGCAGACCAACGGGATGTGTAAAAGTAGAGAAATAAATTCACTTCAAGGAACTGGCTGCAGAGGCTTCAAGAGTCCACAAGCTGCCTGGGGGGGCCAGCAGGCTGGAGACTCAGGAAGGAGCTGCAGCTGGAATCTGAAGGCAGAGCACTGGAGAATCCTCTCTTGCCTGCAGGTCCAGCCTTTTGTTCTAGTCAGAACTTCAACTGACTGGACAAGGCCCCCGCGTCCTATGGGGCAGCTGGCTTCACTCAAAGTCCACCGGCTTAAATGTAAATCTCATTCAAAAACACCCTCATAGAAACAACCAGAATAATGTCTGACCACATGTCTGGGCACCAGGGCTCAGCCAAGTTGACACTTAAAATTAACCATCCCAGATGGCACACTAACTTTTTAATGGGGGCTTTCAAATATCTCTGCCTATGAAACTTTTATCTGAGCCAGTTGTTTCTCCAGAAAAAAAGACTTCAAGTTCTGAGTGGGGTGGAGGTGGCACTGCCCCTTGGGGTAAGGGAGAAGTGACGGTGCCTGAGGCTGACGGTGGCGGAGGGGCAGTCTCACCCTGGACCATGGACACTCACTTCCACCCCCTATTTTTAGTTCTGTGCCTCACTCCACCTGTCTCCTACATCTAGCTTTGCTGAATTGAAAGAGCCTGGTCAGGTTTTCCTAGCTCCTTTAGTCTCCAGCAGGAGTTGAAGGCTAAGCAGTTCTCCCCTGTGCTGGGGGCAGGTGCTCACGGAGGTCCAACTGCTGTGCATATTCGAAGAAGCCTCCTGTGCCAGAGCACCCCCGCGCCCATGCAGGGCACCGCCTGCTGGGGACATGGCGCTTTCCTGTCCTGAGTTCTGGGGTTCTGTAGAACAAGCTGGCTTGCTTCTCGCGGGCACTCTCCCGTCACGCACTGACGCCACTGTCCGTCCCGGCAGGTCAGCTGTCGTTCCCCTCAGGCACTGACGCCACTGTCTGTCCCGGCAGGTCAGCTGTCGTTCCCCTCAGGCACTGACGCCACTGTCCGTCCCGGCAGGTCGGCTGTCATTCTCTCACTTGCTTCAGTTCACAGGTTTGCAGCTGGAGCTCCAGATGTCCCATAGCTTCATCAATGAACTTCCGTTTCTGTTTCGTTGTTTTTCGGGTCGCTTTGAGATGATTTTCAAGAGAAGTGTTTTTATTCGGCTATCATGAAAGTGGAGTTCTGTTTAAGCCACATTTTAAGAGTTTTTGCATATATTGTTCTGACAGCCTTCCAAACTACACCATCCAGTGGAAATGCTACTTTTACACAACTAAACTTCTAGACAATGAGAAATAAGAACAAACTCTAAGTCCCCAACTCACTGAGCAGACCCCCTTTCTTTGCCTAGGGAGCCCGAGGCAACCACGAAGCTAAGCTCCCGGTCACGATGGGCTAAGAGGTGGGGCTACCACACCCCGCCCCTCCTATGCTGACCCTGTGAGGCTTTCCGCCCTCAGGGTGAAGCGGCCACCAGCCCTTTCAGCAGACTCCCCAAGGGCAGTGACCATCGCCTGACTGCTCTCCACCTTCTGTGGTGTCAACAACCCAAGCAGCCAGACTTGCTCCTGAGAAGGCACCAGGGAGGCTCTGGCCAGCCTACGGAGGACACCAGGGAAGGGTTTTGTTCCTTTGTTTCACCTTTTGACTCAGAGGGCGGAAAACACTACCCTCGGATCCCACTCATGCCGCCAATTTCTGAACATGGGTCCCAAGAAGGAGCATGAAGCTCAACTGTGCAGGCACACACTTCCCCTCTTACAAAGATCCACTCCTGCAGCTCCCCGAGCACGGACATTCGGCCACCTGGCCCGGCATGCTTTCCTGCTCCCTTTCCACTCCCTCAGAAGATCTGTTTTTGGTTTCTAGCCCAAGGCTATGATTATCAGCCATCAGAACAGCCACCCTGCACGCTGCAACCCAGTATGAGAAACAAAGCCCTCCTTTCCACGCTTCTGAGCGTCACTCTGCACTGACACCTGCCTTGACCCGTGCAGCCGGGAAGAGATGCGGGCAGCTGCCCAGCAGGCTCCACCACACCACTGTCTAAGGATCTTGAAAGAAAACCTAGGTCAGTCTCTAAGTCAAATACTCACTACATAGTGTTCCACATTCTTCACTTTAAAAGCAGATCAGTGGAAAATTGTGCGATTGTATTCCTCCCAAGGCAGTCCCTAATATACAGCAAAATCAGCCTAAACACATGAACCACACTGGCATGGTTCTTACGTTAGTATGTTCCCCTAAGGGAATTCACATTTAAAAAAAAGTTCCAGCCAGGTGTGGTGGCAGAGGCCTGTAATCCCAGCTACTCGGGAGGCTGAGGCAGGAGAATCGCATGAACCCCGGAGATGGAGTTTGTAGTGACCCGAGATTGTGCCACTGCACTCTAGCCTGGGCAACAGAGTGAGACCCTGTCTGAAAAAAGAAAAAAAAAAAAAGTTCCTGAACCACTGTTAAAACATTTTTATGGGAAAATAGAGAATAGACTATGACAGTTAATTTTATGTGTCAAATTAAACATGGTGTCTGGGTGTGTCTCTAAGAGTGTTTCCAGATGAGATTAACATTGAATGGCGGTCTCAGTCAGGCAGAGGCCCCTCCCCAACGTGGGTGTGCCTCATCCAAACCAACCAAGGCCTGAACAGAACCAAAGGCAGAGAAAGAAAACATCTGCTCCAACCTGCCTGCCGGCTTCAACTAGAGGAACAGTCTCCGCCTGCCCTTGACCTGGGGTTTGGCTACTGTGGGTCTCAGTCTTCTGACTCAGGAGAGTTACAGCCCTGGCATTCCTGGGTCTCCCGCCTGCAGACAGCAGATCATGGGGCTTCTTGGTCTCTATAGCCGCATGTGCCAATTCCTATAAATCCCATCTCATATATAATGTTTATCTCCTACTGGTTCTCTGGAGAACCCTAACACATATACAAAATCTAGCTGCTGAGAATAACAGTGCCATTTTTGAATAAGGTGTGGAATTCTAGTTACTTTGGAAGCGTGTACTTGCATCATGAAGAAAATTCACATACCTGTAATCCCAGTATTTTGGGAGGCCAAGGTGGGTGGATCATCTGAGGTCAGGAATTTGAGACCAGCCTGGCCAACATGGCAAAACCTCATCTCTACTAAAAATACAAAAATTAGCCAGATGTGGTGGTGCACACCTGTAATCCCAGCTCTTCGGGAAGCTAAGGCAGGAGAATGGCTTGAACTCAGGCAGAGGTTGCAGTGGGTGGAGACTGCACCACAGCACTCCAGCCTGGGCAACAAACCGAGACTCCGTCTCAAAAAAAAAAAAAAAAGAAAATGCACAAATGGAATTATATGCATGTTTTACTTTCTACAACAATCAACAAAGACAAATAATAACTAGAGAAAGAGAAAGTCTTAGTCTTGTGTAGATATGAATTTCCTAGTTTCCTTTAGTGAGTAGGAACATGATACAGTAGGTTAAGACATAAAAAGAATCTGAAGTAAAATTTTAAAAAGTAATATATGGGTTTTCCAGTCTAAGGTATCTAAATTCTAATCCATATCCCTTGACTTACTAGTTTTGTAATTTTGTAAAATAAAGAAAGGTTTCATTTAAAAGAAGAAGGAGAAGGAGAGGAGAGGAGGAAGGAGGGAACAGTGGAGGAGGAGGAAGAGGAGGAAGAGAAGGAGGGGTTGGCAGAGAAGGAGGAAGAGAAGAGAGGCGGCCGCTTGTGCCTGGCAGGGAAGCGAACCTAGGCCACAGGCTAGGCTGAAGCCCTAGGCCTATGCTCAGGCCAAGCACAGGCTGAGGCAGTGTTTAGTGTGGGGTTTCTACCAGCCTGACAGAAGAGTCAGTACTTAATAGGTGTCAGGGATGACTGAGAGATGAGATCATAACCACAGCAATAAACTCATTAAAAATATAAAGACAACTGACAGCAAGCAAGGTTATCGGGACAAGACAAAGTCTCTGCCTTAGTTGGGTTCTGCAGGCCCTGTTCCTCCCTGAAGATTTTTCCCCATTAAGCGTTCCTATTGCAATCAGCAGGAGGACAAGCACAGAAGTGTGCAAGAGACAACCAGTCTGCTACAAGACTCCACACCAAATCTACTCAGGAACTCACTGCACTCTTAGAATTCCACTGCCTGTGGTTTATGAGGCTGAGTTAAGGATCTGTGATTCAAAGTAAGGTATTTCCATCCGGCCTGCTTTGTTTGCATGCAGGATTCATTTCCCATTTCATGTTTGGTCGAATATGCTGTAGTGTGTAAGAATATTCTTCCCTACCTGCATTAACATATAGTAGATTCCAGCCATGCCATGGGCTGCTCCAACATACTGCTTCCGGTGCCACTGGTACAGCAGTGGGCAGCGCTCCGTTTTTCTTTCTTCCTTTGACAGAGTCTTACCCGATTCAATAATAGCATTGACTACCTACAGAGATAATGAGACAGCATCAATCTAAAACTATATATGGACCCTGTTGCAGTCTAATTAACAGTATGTCATGTATATGACATATAGAGAGATAGACAGAAAACTTAATCTAAAAGTCTTTAAGCAGTTAGCAGCTAATGTAGTTATATTTATTTTATAAGTTAATAAATGAGGGCAGAAAGAAATCAGAAGCCAGTGTCAGAGTAGTAAAAGATATTAAGTCTAAGAAATAAAAAAGTCTTTGTATAAAAAGTCAACAAAAAATCTAGAAAAACCTCTTATAAAAACTGTTCTGGATTTCTGTTTTTTTTTT